TCTAAACTCACAACATCAGAGTTTCATAGGCTTTGGATCATATCTGTAAATCATATATATGCTGTAACATTGAAGCACTGTCTTTTTGCATTTTGTACAATAATGAATGTTTAGACAGTTAATAAATTGATCAAATGTGGAAAAATAAAGCAGACTGAGTCTATAACCCTTGAAATATTCACCCAAGTCAAAAGTTGAATAGTAAAACAGTGACAAAATTTTCCACATTTTAAAAGAAACACACTGGGTGATGAGTATTCAACTTAAATGAGAGTACATCGGAAATTTCAAGGAAGATAAACGGTAAGTGTAGGATGGACATTTGGTGCAGAGGTTAAGTAGTTGCTTGGGGTGCTCACTTCTGAATTCATCATGGTTGGAAGTAGAAGAGCTAGGACTCTAATCCAGCTTCCAGCTGATGTGCGTCCTAGAAGGGAGCAGAAGATGACTCAAATACTTTGATCCTGCCACCCACATGAGAGAACCAGATGGAGTTCTAGGCCTCTACCCTTCACCTGGCCCAACCCTGGCTGTAATAGTAGTAGGCATTTGGGAAGTGAACCACTGGATGGAGGATCTCTTTCTCTCTCTGCCTTTTTGTTTTTTCTCTGTGTGTCTCTCTGCCTTTCAGATAAAATGAAAGTAAATAAATAAAAATTTCAATGTATTTTGGTACAAAAATTTTTGAAATCCATACATAAGCTGAGCCTTCAAAAACTCCATGGAAAATGCATATGGAAAAAGTCTGCTGGCCGGCGCTGTGGCTCGATAGGCTAATCCTCCACCTGCGGCACTGGCACACCGGGTTCTAATCCTGGTCGGGGTGCCAGATTCTGTCCCGGTTGCTCCTCTTCCAGTCCAACTCTCCGCTATGGCCCGGGAGTGCAGTGCAGGATGGCCCAAGTGTTTGGGCCCTGCACCCGCATGGGAGACCAGGAGAAACACCTGGCTCTTGTCTTCAGATCAGTGTGGTACAACAGCCTTAGCGCGCCTGCCACGTTGGGGGATGAACCAACGGAAAAGGAAGACCTTCCTCTCTGTCTCTCTCACTGTCCACTCTGCCTGTCCAAAAAAAAAAAAAAAGAATTTACTAATGCGTTAGGTTCTTAGGACCACAGCAAATCCGTGATAATTACTACAACACAATTCTCATCAATTTAAATATTAATGTAATAAAACCAGGAGAACAGATTCAATGTAATTCATAAATATAATTCTTAGAATGTAACAATCCTTCCCTCCCCATTGCTTCCCTCCCTCTTTTCCTTCTCCTTCCTTTTCCTCTCTTTCTTGCTTTCTTTTTGTAATTTTTGAGATCACATTTTTATTTACATCATAGTCAAAGGCTTAATACTCCACTAAATGAATAAGTTCAGCAAGTAAAGAGATCTTAGTTCAGTGGGAATTTATGTAAGACTATAAACAATAATTGAAGGAGAAGATGACCATTTTATTTCTATACAGTAAATTTAAAAATAAACAGATTATTAAGTCTGTAGTAGTATGTCATTCTTAACCATTGGTTTGACAAAAGTATATTTTCAGCCATACTGATACACACAGGCATTTCTTTTTGTTTGTTTTAATTTCTTTTTTAATTTTAGCTCCCACATATAAGGGAGAACATAAGTATTTGCCTTTTTGTGTCTGGCTTATTTCAGTCAGCATGCCGTCCTTGAGTTACATCCATTTTGATGCAAATAGTAGAATTTGATTCATTTTTATACCTGAATAGTAGCCTGTGTTTTCTTTATCCATTCATCCATTGATGGGCACCTTGGTTGATTCCATATTTTGACTATTATGAACAGTACTGCTATAAGCATGACAATTCAGTTATCTCCATGATACAATGAGTTTGTGTCTTTTGGGATTACTGGGTCCTATGGCTACCATACAGTGGCTATACTAATTCACATTCTCACTAACAGTAAATAGGAGTTCCGCTTTCTCTACATCCTTGCCAGCATGTGTTGCTTTACTCTCTATCTTTTGGATGATAGCCATTCTGACAGGGATGAAGTGATATCTCCTTATGGTCTTGATTTGCATTTCCCTGATAGCTTATGATGTTGAGCATTTTAAAAATATATTTATAAGCCATTTGTATTTTTTTAAGATTTTTTTGTATTGATTTGAAAGGTACAGTTATGGACATAGAGAGGGAGAGACAGAGAGAAAGGTCTTCCATCCATTGGTTCACTCCCTAAATGGCCTCAACAGCTAGAGCAAGCCAAACTGAAGCCGGGAGTTAGGAGCTTCTTCCCAGGTCTCTCACAGGGGTGCAAGGGCCCAAACACTTAGTTTGTCTTCAGTTGCGTTTCTAGGCTATAAGCAGAGAGCTGGATTGGAAGAGGAGCAGCCAGGACATGAACCAGTGCCCATATAGGATGCCAGCACCGCAGACAGAGGCTTAGCCTAATATGCCACAGTGCCAGGCTACTGTGTTTCTTCTTTAGAGAGCTGTCTATTGAGGTTCTTTGCACATTTCTTAATGGGATTGATGGTTTTTCTGTTGTTGAATTTCTGAGTTGCTGATATATTCTGGATATGAATCCTTTGTCAGATAGGTAGCTTGCAAATATTATTTCCCATTCTGTTGGCTGTCTCTTCACTCTATTGATTGTTTCCTTTGCTATGCAGAAGTTTCTGATTTTGTTATAGTCCCATTTGTCTAATTTTGCTTTTGTTGCCTCTGTTTTGTGGATCAATTCTAAGAAGTCATCACCTATGCCAGTGTCTTGAAATGTGACCCCCTACATTTTCTTCCATTAACTTCAAAGTCTCATGTCTTAAATTTAGGTCTTTGACCTAGCTTGAGTTAATTTTTGTATATGGTAAGAAGTAGGGATCTAATTTCATTTTTCTGCATATATACCCACTTTTGCTAGCACCACTTATTGAAGAGATTGTCCTTTCTCCAGTATATGGTCTGGACACTTTTGTCAAAAATCAGTTGGCTCTATTATGTGGATTTTTTTTCTGGACTCTCTATTCTGTTCCACTGTTTTAATTACTATAGATTACTATAGTAATTAAGTATTTTAGAAGGATAATTTGAGTCAGAGAACATCTAAACTCACAACATCAGAGTTTCATAGGCTTTGGATCATATCTGTAAATCATATATATGCTGTAACATTGAAGCACTGTCTTTTTGCATTTTGTACAATAATGAATGTTTAGACAGTTAATAAATTGATCAAATGTGGAAAAATAAAGCAGACTGAGTCTATAACCCTTGAAATATTCACCCAAGTCAAAAGTTGAATAGTAAAACAGTGACAAAATTTTCCACATTTTAAAAGAAACACACTGGGTGATGAGTATTCAACTTAAATGAGAGTACATCGGAAATTTCAAGGAAGATAAACGGTAAGTGTAGGATGGACATTTGGTGCAGAGGTTAAGTAGTTGCTTGGGGTGCTCACTTCTGAATTCATCATGGTTGGAAGTAGAAGAGCTAGGACTCTAATCCAGCTTCCAGCTGATGTGCGTCCTAGAAGGGAGCAGAAGATGACTCAAATACTTTGATCCTGCCACCCACATGAGAGAACCAGATGGAGTTCTAGGCCTCTACCCTTCACCTGGCCCAACCCTGGCTGTAATAGTAGTAGGCATTTGGGAAGTGAACCACTGGATGGAGGATCTCTTTCTCTCTCTGCCTTTTTGTTTTTTCTCTGTGTGTCTCTCTGCCTTTCAGATAAAATGAAAGTAAATAAATAAAAATTTCAATGTATTTTGGTACAAAAATTTTTGAAATCCATACATAAGCTGAGCCTTCAAAAACTCCATGGAAAATGCATATGGAAAAAGTCTGCTGGCCGGCGCTGTGGCTCGATAGGCTAATCCTCCACCTGCGGCACTGGCACACCGGGTTCTAGTCCCTGTCGGGGTGCCGGATTCTGTCCCAGTTGCTTCTCTTCCAGGCCAGCTCTCTGCTGTGGCCCGGGAGAGCAGTGGAGGATGGCCCAAGTGCTTGGGCCCTGCACCCCATGGGAGACCAGGATAAGCACCTGGCTCCTGCTTTCGATCAGCGTGGTGTGCCGGCCGCAGCGCGCTAGCCACGGCGGCCATTGGAGGGTAAACCAGTGGCAAAGGAAGATCTGTCTCTCTGTCTCTCTCTTACTGTCCACTCTGCTGGGGCGGGGGGGGGGGGGGGAGAAGAAGAAGGAAGGGAGGGAGGGAGGGAGGGAGGAAGGGAGAGAGAAAGAGAGAGAGAGAGAAATGAAAAGTCTGCATGTATTTCAAGTTTTTGCACCAAATTAATGTATATATTTTTAAAAATATTTATTTATATAAAAGGCACAGTTACAGAGAGAGGAGAAAGAGAGAGAATGAATGAATGAATGAATGGATGGGGATATTGATCTTCCATCCATGGGTTACTGCCGAAATGGCCGCAATGGCTGGAGCTGGGCTCATCTGAAACTAGGAGTCAGGAGCTTCTTCTGGGTCTCCCACATAGGTACAGGGGCCCAAGGACTTGGCCATCTTTTGCTACTTTCCCAGGCACATTAGCTGGCAGCTGGATCAGAAGCAGCCAGGACTCGAACTAGAGCTCAAATGGGTTGCTGGCGATGGCTCTACCCACTACACCACAGTGCCAGCCCCACATTAATGTATATTTTAATTCCATTTTCTTAAGATTTTTTTGATACCTGTTCCTTTTCTGCTGTTCTATGTATTTAGGGATGGAATTCAGAAAACAGTGAAACAGAAAAAAATTGGACTTTTATAATTCTGTAACTTTCCATCCCTTTTTTTAGGCAGCAATTATAAACTGCTTTCTTGAAAAGTTAATTTTTCTTTCTTTTTGCAAAGTGATGTAAAATTATAAATTTCTTTTGTGGGAGGTAGTTGTGGTTTCTTTTACATATGTGCTATAGTTGCAATGATATGGATCTGAAATAAACATTTTGATTTTTTGAATAACAGTCTAAGTTCTGTTATGGTTTAGATTTAAAGCATATCTGCTTTTTTGTTGTTGTCGTTATTAGTGCAAAGCAGCTGGTCCGAGGAGAACCCAATGTTTCGTATATCTGTTCTCGGTACTATAGGGCACCAGAGTTGATCTTTGGAGCCACTGATTATACCTCCAGTATAGGTAAGTACTGAATCCTAATATAATGCATGTATATATTAATTACATTCTGGTTTTAATAATTTGGTACTATTAATCTATAATTTCACTTTTGTAGAAAGATAAATATACCATGTAATACATTTCTTCTTAATAATAAGATGCTGAAATGGAATTTTTAAAATTTCACCTTTAATATGGCCAGTGTTTGGTGTGGCAGTTAAGATGCCGCTTGGGGTGCCTGCATCCCATAACTGGAGTGCCTGAATTTGAGTCCCAGCTGTGCTCTGGATCCCAGCTTCCTGCTGATGCACACTGTGAGAGGCAGCATATGATAGCTCAGGTAATTATGTCTGTGCCCCATGTGAGAGACCTGGGTTGAATTGCTGGCTCCCAGTTTTGTTCCAACCCAGCCCTGGCTATTACAGGCATTTGGGGAATGAACTGATAGATGGGAGATGTCTCTCTGTTTTTTGCCTCTCTCTGTGTTTCTCTCTCTCTCTCTCTCCCTCACTCCCTCTGTCTTTCCCTCCCTTCTTCCCCTAAAACTCTGCCTTTAAATCAATGATATTTTTCAAAATTTCACCTTTTAGAATTTAAGATATACCTACTGTCTTAAGGCTTCAAATAAATGCTAGTAGTATACCTTTGCTTAACTTTGTTTTTAAAAATCTTTCTGAATACTCAACTTCTGAGTGAATATTCATCATTTGGAGAATTTGTTTAATGCAACGTTATTTCATAGGATTTTTCAAGGTGGCTGAATAGGTGTACCCAGCATTGGCTTTCTCCTTCACAGAGAAGAATGAAGACAGAAAAATAGCTGAATTTCCAGAGCATAGGCTGCAGTGTGCCTCCGTCTTAAGAAAGGAATCGCTTTCAGAATCCATTCTGCCCCTATAGGCAGAAGCTTCTGCATATCCCCATCCCTGATGCCCCATAGATATTCCACCACAGTAGCAAAACAGTTTGTATGGTCACAAACCCAACTAGACTGAACAGAGTGATGGTGACCCCAGCATCTAGCCCACTTAAAGCTCTGTACTATAAGATACACAGGCTATAGAACAGCAGGGGACCTTGTCTCTAGTACCCTAGAAATAGAGGTACCTGCCCTCTCATATCTGGGACATGTCCACCGTCCTCCTCTACCCCGCCCCATCCCTATCGTCCACCACCCAAGACATTGCTCACTCCTTATGGGACTCAGCATTCAGCCCAGATTGCCCTCCAGCAGTGCTCCTGAAATGCCAGTGCTGGACCCATACAGCTCCACTGGAACTGAGGAGTACCCCAGACCCCCACCACAACCAGTAGCATCTATTAGAATAGAAGAAGGTAGAAGTAAAGTGTACTGTGGCATGCAAAGAATTTTTTTTTAACATGGGAGCCACCCCTTAAGTGAATGGCAGAAGTGATCCAGCAGATGTGTAAATATCAGCGTAAGGATCAAGAAACATCAAAAAGGAAGGCAATATGATGCTTCCAGAGGAACACGATAAAGCTTTAGGAACAGACTCCAAAGAAAAGAAGGTTGATGAAATGCCTGATCAGGAACTCAAAGAGTTACAAGAGAATATAAACAGATAGACAGCTTTACAGAATCAGGAAATCAATGCATGGCATGACATGATTAAGACATTTAGCAAAGATACATAGACCTTAGAAAAGAACTGAACAGAAATTTTGGAAATGAATAACTGAGTAAAGCAAGGAAAAAGAATTTGGAAGACTGAACAACAGATTAGATCAAGCAAATGAAAGAAGATCTGAACTTGGAGTGAGGATTGCAGTGTGATGTGCTAAGCCACCATTTGGAACTCCTGCATTCCCATATTAGAGTGTCAGTTTTGTTAGGGCAACAGATGGCGGCCTAAGTGTTTGGGTCACTGCCACCCATGTGCAAACCCAGATGAAGTCCAAGCTCCTTGCTTCAGCCTGGACCAGCCCTGGCTATTGTGGGCATTTGTGGAGTGAATCAGCCAATGGAAGATCCCTATCTCTGTCTCTTCCTCTCTCTGCCTTTCAAAAACGTAGACCTTTTTTTAATTATAAAAAGAGTATCTGAACTTGAAGATAGATCTTAAGAAAAATTCCAGTCAAACAAAAAAGAAAAATCAATAAAGACAGTCTCCCAGATTTCTAGGATACCATTAAAATGAAGCAGTATTTGAAGTTTGGGATCCCTGAAGGAGAAGACAGGAATAAAATCATAGTAAAACTTTTCAACATGTCATATCATAGTGATACCATATGTGAAAACATCCTCAAAGTGGAGAAAGATTTGGATATCTAAGTACAAGAGACCCATATAATCCCAAATAGAAATGGTCAGGAAAATCCTCATTGTGACTTATTTATAGTCAAATTCTCAAAAGTACCATACAAAAAGAGAATTCTTTTTTTAAAAAAAATTTATTTATTTGAGAGGTAGAGTTACAGAGAGGGAGAGATAGAGAGAAAAGTCTCACCCACGGGTTCACTCCCCAGATGGCCGTTAACAGTCAGAGCTGAGCTGATTGGAAGCCAGGAGCTTCTTCCAGGTCTCCCATGCAGGTGCAGGGGCCCAAACACTTGTTCCATCTTCTGCGACTTTCCAGGCCATAGCAGAGAGCCAGATTGGAAGAAGAGCAGCCAGGACCCAAACCAGAGCCCCTATGGGATGCCGCCACTGCAGCCAGAGTCTTAGCCCAGAAATCCACAGCGCTGACCCCAAAAAGTGAATTCTAAAATTTGCAAGAGAAAATGCCAAGTCACATTTAAGGGAACACTCATTAGACTAGCAAGATATTTTTTTCTTGCTTGCCAAGAATATTATATCTGGCAAAGCTATCATTTATAGATGAAGGGAGAAAATAAAGACTTTCTAATACAAGCAAAAACAGGAAATTAATCACCACCAGACTATCAGCTTCTTATGATCATAGCTTGAATACCTGAGAGAAAATAAGGAAAAAGGAAAAAGAACATTTTTGCCATTTAGGAGGTTCACAGTCCAGTATCATCCATCCCCATTGACTTGGCATCTGACAAGGGTGATGGATGGTGGAATATATACAGAGAAGGAATCACATGGTGATCCACAAAGCAGACAAATGAAACAGACTCAGCCCTGTTGCCTCTCCTAATAAACTTATGATTAATTGTGATGTTTCACCTTGTAGCCTAATTCCCAGAGGCCCTACCTTCAGACTTCATAATTGCATTAAGTTTCAACTCTCCTAGCACTTTTTTTTTTTTTTTTTTTTTGACAGGCAGAGTTAGAGAGAGAGAGACAGAGAGAAAGGTCTTCCTTTTCCATTGGTTCACCACCCAAATGGCTGCTACGGCCGGCGCGCTGCGCCGATCCGAAGCCAGGAGCCAGGTTCTTCCTCCTGGTCTCCTATGTGGGTGCAGGGCCCAAGGACTTGGGCCATCCTCCACTGCACTCCCAGGCAACAGCAAAGAGCTGGATTGGAAGAGGAGCAACCGGGACAGAATCCCACACCCCAACCGGGACTAGAACCCGGTGTGCCGGCGCTGCAGGCGGAGGATTAGCCAAGGGAGCCGTGGTGCCGGCCTTCTAGCACTATTAGCATAAGATTTTAATTCTATTTAAAAATTTGTATTTTGATGGAGCATGCTAGTGCTCTACCATCCACTGGTTCACTCAAGAAATACATGTCATTGCCCAAACCCAAGCTGGGAACTGGGAACTTAATTCTGGTGTCTCATGTGGATGACAGTAACCCAATTACTTCAGTCGTCACCACTGCTTCCCAGGGTATGCATTAGCGGGAAGCTGAAATCAGAAGCAGAGCCAGAATGTGAACCAAGGCACTCTTAATATGAGGTGTGGTCATCTCAAGTGGTATCTTAACCACTAGGCCAAATGCCCATTCCAGACTTTGGAATTGAAATGCCTACGTTATTTGGTAAACCAAATCATGTTCAACCTATAGCACTAACCTTATAAGACACATTGATTACTCCTCCCTTCTCCTTCAGGGATTCCTAAACCAAGACCAAAATTAGTACAAGAGGAGCCGTAACAAAGAGCAGAAATAAATGAAAGAGATTAAGAAAAACAATACTGAAAAATATTTGATTTCTTGGAAATATAAACAGCATCAACAAACTATTTAATAGTTTTCAATAAAAAAAACAACAAGATTTATGTAAGTAATATCAGAGTTGAAAAGAAAGACATTTCGACTGATAGCATAGAAGTAGAGTCATTAGGGACTGTTAGCAACAACTGCATGCCAACAGATTGGAAGATTCAAAAGAAATGGATACATTTATAGACAAAATAACCTGCCAGAGTTGAACCATGAGGTTGTAGAAACCCTGTCCAGACCCATGATAAATAACAAGAATGAATCAGTAATAGAATGTCTTCCCCAAAAAAAAAAAAAAAGCTGAGGACCCCATTGCTTAATGGCTGAGTTCTTCCAAACTTTTAAGGAAGAATTAACACCAGCCGTTCTAAAACTATTGTTAAAAATTTAAAGAGAGGGAACCTTTCTAAACTCATTAAATAAGACCAGCATTACTCTGATACCAATGCCAGACACAGGTCATAAAAGGAAGGAATGGAGGGAGGGAAAGAGGAAGGAAGGAAAAAGAAATTTGCAGATTATTTTCACTGATTAACAAAGATCCAAAAGTTCTCAACAAAATATTGGCAGACTGAATCCACTATCACATCAAAAAAAATCAACCAGCGTAATCAGTTGAGATTTTTCTGAGGGATGTAGGGATGATCCAACATACACAAGTCAATAACATAATATGTCAACAGAATGAAGGTCAAAAGTCATATGGTAATCTCAGTAGATGTAGGACAAACATTAAATAAAATCCAGCATCCTAAACAAATTAAGAATAAAAGAATTATGGTTCAGCATAATGAAGGCTATCTGTGACATAACACAAGCCTCATTGTACTAAATAGAAAAAAGCTGAAATTGTTTCTTGTAAGGTCTGGACCTAGGTAAGGATGTTCACTCTCAGCATTCTTATTCAGAATTGTATTGGAAGTG